CCTCAATACGTTTTCTTTGTTCAAATCACTCGAACCGGTGACTTAGAACTGGCGACCTAGTTAAGGGTTATAAACTCATCCAACAAATGTTTTATTTTTTATACCAGTGAATCCAATACATATGATTGATGAGATGGATGGCAAAACATGAAGAGAGATTGAATCTAAACAAAACAAAAATATACTGTCTTTTCTTGTCTCATTTGAATGATGATCACTGTCCTGTGTACCTTTCGGCGCTTATATATTAGATACACTCGCCCCCACTACCTATATATTGACCATATACTTCTTTCTTTGACTGTTGCAATTATATCAAATGTTGGCTTCTTTTTATTTGATTTGATAGTATTATCTGAAAGATTTTGCTTTTAATTATGGGTGTAATCATGTGTTAAATTTACCCAAAAAATTTAATGATACACAATTTTCTTAATTCTAGTGTAAGGATTAATATATTTCCCAATTGACGTAATCAATTTTACACATTTTACCTATTTTATCCCTTTTAAAAATTTTTCCTTTTTCTTTTACTTACATTATTCCTCTAGAATTTTATTTTAAAAAAAAACCCAAAACCAACAGTCTTGTTTAGAAAAAAAAAAATTGACGATGAACCAACTGCCTCGTTTTGGCTGGAAAATTTTATCAAAGGGAAAGTAGTTTATTTTATGCCAATAATTAAAAAAATGTTTTTTTGCCAAAAAAATGGTTCGAAAAAGAATGAAGAAGGAAAAAAAACGTAATAAATTTTAATTTTTGTCCTTGATAGCTAATTAATAACACTCGAAAAAGAATGAAGAAGGAAAAAAACGTAATATTAATTTTAATTTTTGTCCTTGATAGCTAATTAATAACACTCGAAAAAGAATGAAGAAGGAAAAAAATGTAATATTAATTTTAATTTTTGTTCTTGATAGCTAATAAACACACTGCAAAATCTATCTTAAAAATACCTCTCACTCTCAAATCATCTTAATCCTAACTTAATAATTTAATATATATATATATATATATATATATAGAACAGGACTGTGGGCTCTGTTGCAACAATAACTAAAGCAAAAGAAAAATTAAATTATGTTATATGATTTTACAAAGGTGACGAAATTTTATCTTCATATCTCCTACAATTTTGAGGTTCTTCTAATTAATGGAGTGATTGGTGGGGACGAAGAGTGTTTTTCATTTTCTGCAGAATAAAAAAACAAATTTATTTCTCATTTTTTTCTTAATCTTTTGTAAAGGGCAATATAGGTAAAGCCTATGAGATTCATTACACCAATGGGGAAATATGTCAACCCTTACACTAGGCTTAGGAATATTGTGTATCATTACATTTTAGGGGTAAATTTAACCCATGATTACACTTGTGGATAATTCACCCTTTAATTATCTATTTCTATCCATACAGTTATTTCGGTACATGAGATTTTTTTTTGGCCACAGAGGTGTACATGAGATTCACTATTCGCGCGAGCTTTCAAATTCTTATGATTATTAAGACACTATCATAACATGTTAATTAACTTAAGTGACACTTAATTTATCAAGACAATTATTGAATTATGATCATGTGCTAAATTTCTAGATCATCACACGTGTTTTTTCTAACTACTCTATATTACTCCCTCCGATCCATTTTAAGAGTCACAAATCAAGTTTTAGTTTATTTCCTAATAAGTGTCACACTTATAAAACTAATACAATTTGTAGTATTTTTACCATATATACCCCTAATTAATGGGGAGTTGGGGAAAGAGAAGATAAATGTAATTAATAAAAAGATTGGGGTGTTTAGGTCATTTAAAATATTTTTTTACTAAATTTAAGGTGAGTTAATTATTGTATTAATATGTGTGACATTCCTAATGTGACACTTATTCTGGATCGAAGAGAGTAATATTTTACATGTAAATAAGAGTATGATAATAATCCAAGTTAAGCCGACATAATAATATGTTAATTAAAATCCCAATTTGTTCATGTCGATCGGCCATTCTAAATTTAAGGGGGGAGCCTACTGTCTAGAATTTTGCTAGGCAGTAAAGAGACCTAATACACTTTTATCTCTACGATTAGGAAATATTACCATTACTTAAAATATTTATCAATACTAGATTTTGGCCCGCACGCTCCGCTGCGTGTTGGACAAATTTAATTCTATGATGGAAGATGGACAAATTTGATTCTATGATATGGAAGATGGTTCATATTCGTAAACTAAGGAGAATTTGTGTCAAGCAAAAGAACTAATTAAGAATGACCCAAAGATTTACCTCTTAAGTCCACAGAAATAGACTAATATATATTGTTATCGATCTCAAACTTCAATGATGGTAGTTGCAAAAGCGTCAAAAAACTTAAATAGGATGAGAAATAAGTAAAACTTTGTCACTGCTCTGTACATTGAGCCCCCTCTTGAGTGTCTACAGCATCTCCAGCATAGTGAAACTACAATCCTTGACTAAATTTTAACATATATAACCAACATCTAATTAGTTCCCAGTGATATAATAATAATATTATTAGGAGTCAAGATGGTCTCCTTCCTCAACTCTTTGTACAGAGTGGGTGGCTTCCTAAGGGAAAAACTCAGAGAAGAGTCATGAAGATAATTCAACTCCTAGAGTATATCAAACCTAAGCAAAAACATCTTCTCATGATCATATCAACCAACATAAGGGAAAAGCATCATATCTTATTTTTCTTTTTTGGTACATATAAAAAAGGTCGGGAAAGGATCCTATTTAAGTAAATGAGAAGACTCAAACTCTAGACCCCCTTTATTTATTTATTTATTTTTTTGCTACATATAAATATGAAATTAAATGATATATAGGCTACACAAAGGGAAGTAGCCTTCTCCCATCCCTAAATCCACCCCACCTATCCCAAGATTTGAACCTGAGACCTCCAATTGGAGGCTCAAGCTCTTAACCATTGTGCTGTCCCTTTAGTCTTCAAAAATCTTAGCTAGAAGGGGAATTCAATGATATACAATTTTAATCATAACTTCATTTCAACTTTGCATGGAGTTTTAGAAAGTTTGTTTGAATTTTGACTATTTTACTTCCTTTTCAAAATAACCCTAAGGGGCGTTTGGTTGTGGGTATCTTGCATTCCCCTTGGGATTCTTGGGTAGGGAATGGAAGATCTCAACGTTTTGGTTGGAGGAATCTGATATTCTCATCTCAGTGGGAATATTGGTGGGAATGTTGCATTTTTGAGATTCCCACCCAAACCTTAGGTATTGTGAGATTCCCAGGAATCCTAATACCCATTTAGCATAAATGGCCAAAAATGCCCTCACCTACACTTGGCAAAAAATGCGTCTAACCTTAAATTTTCACCTAAACTACAAAATGCCTTAGCCTGAAAATATAGAAACCCCCTTCGATTTTTTCTGCCTTATTTTTCCAAATTACTTTTTCGATTCATCAAAGCTAACCCTAACCTCGATGCCGTCGACCTTGTGGAGGCTTCGCCGGTCATCTTTCTTGTTGTTTATTGTCGGTTATCTGCAACTTCAAGTTAGCAAACTAATTTTACAAAAAAATAATAATAAAAGAATTTTCATTTAGGTTTTCTATAGGTTTAAGGTAAGGGTAGATATTTGTTTGCATTTTCGATTTTTGATTGTAGTTTTCGCTGCTGGTAGGTTTTTTAGGTTGTTTTCTTTGTTGGTTTTGTTTGATTGGTGGTTTTCGTTTTTAGTGTGATTTTTTTTTCTTTGGTTTTTTTATATTTTGACATGAAAATCTAGTGAAATTGATAAATATTGTTACTATGAGTACATAAGATTTAAAAAAGTAATTATAAACATGACTTATTGCTAATTTGTCTGAAACCTGTATGGTACTTGATAAAATTCAGCCTTTAAGTAAAATGACTTTAGTGTATTAACTTACTTATTTTAATTGATTTTAGGGTTTAAAATGTATCGAAAAAAAATTAATCCATGTCAATGTGGTTGGACAGAGGATGAAATTGTGGCTCTTATAGATGCCTTGCTAGAGGCCTGGTTTGAGAATGAAGCTTCTATCTTTGAAACTGAGTTAGATTTTGAAAGGTTGGAGAGACTTTTTAAGAAAAGATATCCTAGGAAACAATTTTGTGTAACAAATCTTAGAGCTCGAGTAATGATTTTGAAGGGATGCTTTAAATTTTCTGAAAGGATGCTTGCTTTTGGATTTACATTAAATAATGAAACACACATGGTAGATGGGCCTGAGGAATTATGGGATGCATGATATACTCAAAATCAAACCTTATGCCTTAAAGGGTTGGCTATGAAGTACTTGAAGGAACTTCAGTCGTTGTTTACTCCAATCCCATGAAGATTATGTAACTAAAATCCCATTGTATTTTAGCTTTTTTTTTTTAGTTTTGATGGTATGTATTCTGCAAACAGTGATGAATTGCATTATGTTTAATTAAATCTTGATAATTTGTCTAGTTTTAGAGTGATTATGGCAAATATTAGAAGAGTATGGACAAATGATGAGGAGCTTGCTTTAGTCCAATCTTTGGTTGAGCTTGCTAACTAAGGGGCCGGATCACCTGAATTGACAAGCATAGGTTGAAAATGATGATTGATGAGAAGTTGCCTTCTAGTGGATTGGCGATGAATCATATTCTAGGTAGATTGAGGTTTTTTTAAGAAGCAATATATTGGCATCAGTACTATACTGAACATGCCAGGGTTTTCATAGAATGAGGAAAATCACTCACTTGTGGGTGAAACTGATGCCTATAAGGATTGACTTCATGAAAATCAAGGAAGATGGGGTTTGAAAAACAACAAGCCTTTCCCTTACTACAGGGACTTGGATCATGCATTCAGACATTTGTTTAATGTTAATTAGGTACTTAAAAGTGTATGAACATGACTTTTTAATTTTTTGAAATTGTATGAACATGGCTTTTTAAATTTTCTGAAATTGTATGAACATGGCTTTTTTTTTTGTTCAAACGTAACAGGCTTGATCAGCCATTCATTAACTATTCAAAAAAACCACCAGATCTGTTGGTGGAGAATACATCCAATCAATTGGACAGCATCTTTTCTTAGTCTTTCTAGCTACCCAATCGGCAGCCCTATTGCAATTTCTAGGAACAAATGAGAAAGAAAAACTATCAAAATAAATAGCCATGTTGATAGTATCAAGCTCAATAGTCAGTGTATTCCATCTGTCCCTTTGGTTGTGGCAGTTAAGTCTTCTTATGAGTCCCTTGTTGTCAGATTCAAAAATAACATTCCTCCATTCTCTGTCACGAGCTAGTTGAACAGCCAACCGCAAAGCCATGGCTTCCGCTGCATCAATCGAACCTGCCTTGGTGAAGAAAGAAGCACCATCGATCAGACTTCCATCATGGTCTCGACATACAACTGCAATACCCGCATCCCCGCTGGCCATGTCAAAAGCAGCATCACAATTTAGCTTAATAAAATCCCTCTGAGGCGGTTGCCACACTTGTTGAGTGGGTCCCATCCCATGTATTCTGTTTGCATTCAACAAACTTTCATTGTACTCCACAAATTCAGCCACCGCATGATTCCAAACCTCAATGGGATTGCCTTCTCTCCCTTCAAAAACAAAAGAATTTCTGGCTTTCCACACGTTCCAGCACAAATAGCGAATGAGTTCAACAACATTTAAACTCCCAAAGCTAACAATGGTATTGGCTGATTCTTCCCACCACTTTAGGAAGCTAACGAAACCTTCACTCCTCGGGGAATAGCTGAAATGAGAAGCTCTCCAAACTGCCTGGGCAAAAGGACAGAAAAAGAGAATATGTTCTAAAGATTCCACCTCTGCGCCACATCTATCACACTGGGAAAAAAGACTACAATGCCTTTTAACAAGATTCTCCTTGGTCGGAACAATGTTTCTACATGATCTCCATAAAAAATTTTTGACTTTGGGGGCAACTTTAAGATTCCATAAATTCCTCCATGTTCTACTTTGTTGCATACTACTCGAACTCTGTCCATTATTCCCAAAAGAAATTGCCTCTGAAGTAAGCAACCTGTACCTAGATTTAACACTGTAATTCCCATCTCTGGTGAAGTGCCATATAAGCCTGTCAGGGGTCGACTCGGAGCCTATTGGAATTTTCTTTACAGCATTAACTTCTGTTTGATTAAACACCATGCGAAGAAGATTGTCTTTCCAGCACTTGCGGTCGAAGTTAATAAGATCTTTAACCACCATGGGGTCTCCAATCTGGGATGGGGTAGAAGTGATTCGAAAAGAAGGCAGGTCAGGGACCTATGCATCGTTCCAAATCAGAACTTCTCTACCGTTGCCGATCATCCAATGGACTCCTCGCTTCAACAGTTGAATCCCTTCAAAGATACTCTTCCATGCCCATGATGCATTACGACCAAGATGAGCATCCAAAATAGAGTGAAAAGGGAAATAAATACCTTTAAGAATTTTTGAGCAAAGCGAGGTTGGAGAGTTAAGCAAACGCCAAGCCTGTTTAGCTAACAGGGCAGTATTGAACTTGGAAAAATCGCGAAAACCGAGTCCACCTTGGTCCTTATGAACAGCAAGCCTCGCCCATTGAAGCCAGTTAATACCTTTTCCTTGTTCAGCCGAACTACTCCACCAAAACTTATTTAAGAGTCTATTAATCTCTTGGCAAAAAGAGGTTGGGATTTTGAAGCAATGCATGACATAGACCGGAACGGCCGCAGCCACCGCTTTGATAAGAACCTCTCGGCCAGCCATCGAAAGTAATTTGCTCTTCCAACCTTGGATTTTTGATTTAATCCTATCAGCAATAAAACTAAGAGCTGCTTTCTTTCCTCTTCCCCACATCGTTGGAAGGCCTAGGTACTTATTGTCCATCTGCAAGTCTTGGACTCCCAATTGGTCTCTAATAAGTCTCCTGCACTCGCTAGAAGTATTAGAAGAAAAAAAGACTGCAGATTTCGTAAAATTGATAACCTGTCCTGTTGCGTTTCTGAACTTGGTAAGAACATTCAGGATTGTGTCGCAGTTCCGCTCGTCAGCAACCGAAAATAAAAGACAATCATCCGCAAAAAGAAGATGGGAAAGCAGAGGGCAACGCCTGTTAATTCTAAAACCTTGCCAATCCCCCGACGCTATGACTTTTGTGATAAGCTGTGACAACACTTCAGTGATCAAGATGAACAGATATGGAGATAATGGATCTCCCTGCCGCAAGCCTCGTTCCGGGGTAAATGAATCCCCCCTCTCACCATTAAGAACAATGGAAAATTGAGTTGATGTGATGCACTCCATTACCCTGGTAGTCCAAAACTCACAGAAACCCATCTTGTCAAGTAACAGCTTCAAGAAACTCCAATTGACCCTATCGTAAGCTTTGCTAAGATCAAGCTTTAAGGCCATGAAACCTCTCCTTCCAGTTCGCCTATTATTAAGAGCATGAAAAGCTTCATGAGAGATGATGATATTGTCCTGAATTAACCTCCCTGGAATAAAAGCAGATTGCGTTTCAGAAACCAAATTTGGGAGGAAAGCTTTCACCCTGTTGGCGAGAATTTTGGAGATGATCTTGTAAATGAAATTACAAAGCCCAATGGGTCTGTAATGGGCTAGGTTCTCAGGGTGTCGTTGTTTGGGAATTAAGACAATGTTGGTGCGATTCAACTCCTTTAGAAGGTGGCCACTTTCAAAGAAACTGCAAACTGCTTCAATGACCTCTTCCTTAACTTTATCCTAGAACCTATGGTAAAAGAGCCCGGAGAAACCGTCAGGACCTGGAGCTTTCAAAGCTCCTAGCGAGAAAACTGCTTCTTCGATTTCATCTCTCGACACTTGTTTACTTAGAGCTTCGTTCATTTCTGGAGTAATCACTCTTTCCACCGAGTCCAAAACTTCTTCTACATCTTCCAATTCCCCTGCTCTAAAAAGCTCCTTGTAAGAGTTGAGAATGAAGTTTCTAATCTCCTCCTCCTCTGTAAGCCACACCCCATCGTTATTCATGATTCTAGTAATAGAATTTCTCCTTCTACGTTGGACTGTTGTGGAGTGGAAAAAATGTGTATTTCGATCTCCATAATTGATCCAATTGAGCCTAGACCTCTGATGCCAAAACCTTTCTTCCATTTGCCATAGTTCATCGACTTCCCTTTTTAAAATTGCCAACTCCTCCTTGAGCTCTTTTGTCAGTGGGAGCATTTGGATTTCCTTTATTCTTTTAAGCCTCAACTCAACCTCAACTTTCGGATTCTGGAATTTGTCCTTGCTCCAACTTCTCAATTTGTTTCTCGTGTTCGCCAATTTTCTAGATAGGCGAAACATCCTAGAGCCCATCTCTGAGGTTCTCCAACCATCGTCAATCACCTCTGCAAATTCTTGGTCGAGGAGCCATTTGGACTCGAATTTGAAATCTCTTCTTCTATTCTTCTTCAATTTCTCAAGAGTGATGAGGAGAGGACAATGATCAGAGGCTACATCAGCTTCGTACCATCCAATGGCTCCAGTGAACAAATTGCTCCAATCCACCGTAGCATAGGCTTTATCAAGTTTCTCCAAAATATTATCTTCCCCCTCTCTATTGTTGGACCAAGAGAAGTTTGCACCATGGATCTCAATCTCCATCAAATTACAATCTTGCAGAAAATTTGTAAATATTTCGGCTTGTGTTCTGTCAATTGGATGACCTCCGCTCTTCTCACTTTGCGAGCCCACTGCATTAAAACCGCCTAGACAGCACCAACGTTCCTCAGAGTTTCCTCTTAATCTTGAGATTTGCTCCCACACTGCTCTTCTACCTTCCCTTCTAGGATCACCATAAATAAAAGTACAAAACCAACTGCCCTGCTCACCTAAATCAGTTCCAACATCAATGAAATTCCTGGAGTCAGCTATAACTTCCAAGTTGAAATCGCTATTCCACCATAGAGCTAAGCCCCCTGATCTGCCTCGACGATCGACATAATGACTGCCAGCAAAACCCAACCTATTTCTTAAACTTTCTAACTTACTTCTCCTTTGCTTCGTTTCACTTAGAAAAACAATGGAGGGACGGTGTGCATGGATGAGCCCCTTGAGAGCTCGAATTGCCGATGGTTGTCCAAGCCCTTGGCAATTCCATGCAAGGATACTCATTGGTCCTCGTGTGGCTGTCCCGGGTCAGCCACCACCACCCTTTTGCTTTCTTCGGAAACAGTAACAATTTGGCTCATCTCATTCAAAGTAACTGTTTGAATCTCATGAATATTCCATTTGGAAGATTTTGGCCCTAAAGAGTGTACCTCTGAGATTTCAATCATCTGTCTATGGCGCTCCATTCTGACCTTATTCCTTGCTGCCTTTTTAATTTGGAGGAAACGTCTGTTGCCCTTGGGTTTACCTTTGGCTGATTTTTCCCAGCTTTCGATTATGTTGGACTTAGTTTCTCCTTCTTTATGACCAAATAATTCAGAAAGTAAATCATAATCCACTGCTAGCCCAACCTGCAAAACATCCCACATTCCGGTGTAGTATTCATAAACCCAATTGCTAATTTGGGCCTTCAGCTCACTCTTCAATCGTTTGCCTTGGTTCAAATTGAAGTCGCCAGCCTGGTCCATATTCACATCTCTAGTTCTTTTTCCAAGTGTACTCACCAAAGATACTTCCATGGGCTGATTTGGGCTTGAAATTGTTTTCTCCGTCGGCCCAATTAGCTTTCCTTCCATCTTTTCCAAAGACCCCAACTCATTTCCCGCCTCAATTGAACCTGAGCTGGGCCCTGGCAGCATTAAATGTTCTTTCAGGCTACTGCTACCTTGAGCAGTGGGAACCGCAGAGGCGTGTTTGACATTAAATGTTGTATCAGAAATGGCCGGTGTTAGCTCTTTGGTTGGGGCCACGTCTTGGACTCGCTCTTTATCTGCGTAAGAAGGACGCGCTGCCTCCCTTCCGCCTTCATTGTTCTTCCAAGAGCTTTGGTTGCTAGACGGACCGCCTTTTGTGACTGTTTTATATTTGAGCTGGGTGGCTTTCATCCATTGACCGTAAGAGCCTTTCTTTCTCCCGTCATTTCTGTAGATGCAGTCCTTGGCCACATGACCGAGCCTTCCACAGTGATAACAGAAATATGGAATTCTTTCATATTTGAACGCCACCCACAAAGGAGGCTTATCTTTCCTTTGAAGATAAAATCCAGTTTTTAATGGATCCTCCACATTCAACCGCACCTTCATTCTAAGAACTCCGTTCCATCTTACATCCTCATCGGAATCAAAGTCCAGCTCTACCATTCCTGGAAACATGGCTGCGATTTTCTCGGCATTAGCTCTTGTCATGTAGGAGAGTGGTAAGTTGTGGACTTGAACCCAAAATTCTGACAGAGTGAAGTCTATCTCCTCTAAAACTGCATCTTCTGACCAATCTTTGAGCATAAGGTGGTTTTCCATAACTGACCATGGGCTTTGTTGAGTCACCCGAACCTTATCGCTTTCGCTCTTAAAAACAAAGAGAAAAATGTTTCTCTCTAGTTCGTGAATCTCCATAGCGTCATGCAGTGGCCACGCCTTAGATAGGATTGCGCGGAGAGGGCCTATCTTGATCGTCCTTTCTGTGATGGTTTTCCCGACCAAAGAATGTTTTTTGATCTTAGTGTTGACCTCGTCTTCTGTAGATAACTCCAGAATGTCCAAATCCTCCAATAAATGGTCATCTGGTCCTTCCTCAGGTGCTATCGCCTCTTGCAACAGAACCATAATGACTTTGGGTAGAGAGTAAATAAGCTGTTAAGGCCAAGAGATGAAGTTAACAGGTCTGTAATAAGACAGATAAAGTTTTGGATAAAAGAAAAAGGAATAAATAAGGTTGGTGGAGGGTGGGAACAGAAGGGTGGTAATGATGATAAAGTAAATAGCAAGAAGCCAAAGTAAAAGGTACAGATCGAAGGAATGTTGGTGAGAGTGGGGTAATGGGAAAATAATCCTGCAAGAACCTTAATAGTTGTAAAAAGAAAGAACAGAAGTAAATGATAGTGTGACAGACGTAGAGAGAGTCACGGGTGCAACTCCTCTAAGTGAAAGGAAGGAGAAGAGTACGGATGACTCTAGAGAGTTCCACCCATAGGGAGAACAGTTGAAGTTGACAATTTGGCTAATTTAAATTTGGAGCAATGCAATTCATATGAACATGGCTTTTTAATTTGAAGAAATTCAGACTTGTTATTTTCAATTTATATATCCTTGTCTTTATATTTAAAATTTGATTTATATGTCATGTACTTAATTAATTATCTATCAACAACACCCCGAGACCCCTTCTCTGGTAGTTTCAAATTTCCGCCGTGCCCAAACCCTTCTGTCTCTGCCTCTCACACACCCACCACTTGTGATGATTGCCCATCTATTTGATGAAGTAAATATTTTCTACCCCTATGGCTTTCATGAGTAAGCATATATTCTTGGATTAAAATGATTGAAGATGAATCGTTGGATATTTTCAAATTCCTATTGTCATTGTGCTTCATTTGGTTCTCAACAGCATTCCCCGGGTGAGTTTGATTCTATGGGCGTCTTTTTTTACTTCACTAATTTTCCTGATCCTTGGATAACTTGGCATTTTCGGGATGTTTTTTTATCATTATAGAGAGGTTATTGATGTTTTTATTCCTGCTAAAAAAAATTCAAAAGGGCATAAATTTGGTTTTGTGAGATTCCTGAACTGTTTTGATGTGGAAAGGATTTTATATTATCTCAATCAAATATGGATTGGTAGTTTCAAAATCAGGTGTTTCAAGGCTAGAGGTCGAAGTGGCTTAGATTCACATATCCAAAGCAATCGTGTTCATGATGAAAGAGGGAATATCGAAGCTAAAGGTTTGAACAAGAATCAAGAACCTAATAAATTGCAGGAAATTTCAATCTCATAAGACATTCAAGGGATTGGTGGAGATAAAACGTTACAGGTCAATTCTCGAAAACAAGACCAAGTTAAAGGTAAAAATGGTGCAAAAAATTCAATTTCGCTTAGCTATAATCCTGAACAAAGTGATATTGACAGATTGCAGAGAAGTGCAGTTGGTATTGTCAGATTTCCAGATACGATTAACGATATTGATGATCAGCTTCTTTCTAATGGTCTTTCCACTAAAGTTTCTGTCACCATTATGGGAGGTGATATGGTTCTTATTACTTTTGAAAGTAAGGAAAAGATGTTGTTGGCCCTTGATTTAGATCATGAGTGGTTACTAAATTGGTTTGTCAATGTTAGTCCTTGGAAGGCAAGTGATGTTTGTCAGTCAAAATTATTCTGGTTGAACCTTTCTGAAATTCCTCTTCATGCATGGAATAACGATTTTTTCTTCTCTATTGGTGGTCTATGGGGTGAGGTGGTTACTTTGGATGAAGTTACTATTAAGAAGAAGCATTTGAATACAGGCAGAGTTCTTGTGCTAGTTAAAAATAAATTCCACATTCCGGATGAGATAAATGTTTCTATTGCCGGTGAAGTTTTCACCATTAAAGTGTCAGTTGAATATTTTTCCTTCAATAACTGCTATGGTAATTGTAGAATTGGATTTACTTATTGTTGTCCTAGTGGTAACTCTCTTTCAGGTTGCTAATTCGAATTCAAATAATGAGTTTTCTGATGATGTTAGGCAAAATCTTGAAGTTTATTCACCTGACCAGATTCCTCTTTTGAATTAAAATATTAAGTTTTCTGATGATGATTTGCAACATCTTGAAGCTGATTCACTTTATCAGGTTTCTGATTCGAATTCAAATTTTGAGTATCATAATGATGATAAGCAACATCTTGAAGTTGATTATCCTAATTAGGATGCTGTTTCAAATTCTAATACTGAGCTTCCCAATGGCGATAGGCAACATTTTGAAAATGTTATTGCAGTGCCAAATATTGAAGCTACTTCTAATACTCAGTGTGATGGAAATTTAAAAGAGCACGAAGATGTTGATGGGTTAGTGGGATTTGATGGTGACAAGGATGGGTCAAATGATGATAATATTCTTAAGGATAAGCAGACTCCTAGTCAAAGAATGAAGGGTAGTGGAAGGAAGAGTAGAGATTTGGAGGAAATTGAAGAAGACATTGAGGAAGATTGGTTTAGTAATCTGTTGGAGAAAAATAAGAAGCTTAAGTTACAAAGAGTAAAGTCACAGAAAGTTAAAGCAACAAAAAGGGGAAGTAGTCAATGATTCTCTTTCAGATGGTGATTTCCGTAACAAACACCGTATCTTGATGGAGGAAGTCCAAGCAACCTTGGAAGTTGGGAAAATGTTTGGCATCTCTTTTGATGGTGATGATAGCTTTATTTTAAATAAATTAATCGCTTTGGAGGAAGAGGGTTAGTGGTGACTGTTTTGATGGGTTAGTGGTAACTGTTTTGATGCAATTTAATTGGTGAGTGCTTGAGATTGGTTTAGTCATTTAGGATTAGCTTTTGGTGTTAATTGTTATCAAGCTTTTTTTGTAGGTCGTTCATTATTCAGGTGTATCTTTTTTTTTTTGTACTTTTGTGGGTAGCGTTGTTTCGTGATCACTACAAGAAAAACACCAAATAGGCACGGTTTTAGGGATGAGAAAAGCTCTGTTCCTGATTTTGGCACGGGATGAGGAACAAAGGTGATTGGAAAAATGAAATCCATGCCTAAAGCCGTGCCAAGCTGGTTTGTCTATGTGAGGAACGGGATGCTACATACCTAAAATCGTGCCTGCCCATTCCATACCTAAAACTACACCGTTTTGGACAACACGTTCTCCCCACTCCTAGTTTCTTTTCTTTTTTTCCTCTATTTTCTTCTTCTTCTTCTTATTTCTTTTCTTCTTCTTTTTTCTCTCTATTTTCTTCTTCTTCTTCTTCTCTACCCGTTCCCCTCTCCAGCCCCGCCACTTCCCCTTGCAATTATCGCCGACACCCAACCCCCAAAACGGCACAAAGTCTTCCTCTCTCTTCTCTTTTCTCATTCCCTACCATAAAAGCTCCAAACTCTATCAATACCTAAACCCCTAAAAACCCAAAACCTATAGTACATATTCCGGCGAAAATGACCGGTGAAAAGCTATCCAATTCTGACGCCAAATTTCCCTTAACCACCCGAACAAAACCCCCGTAGTAAATTTTAAGAAACAACCCGCCAAATTAAAATCCCCAAAATCGGTATGAACCCTAACTTTTAATTATTATTTTTTTGATTTGATTCTTTTATTCTAACTCTTTTTTTTTTCTTTAATAAAGTGAAAATGAGGTTGGGGAACGGTTCGAAAGAGAGGTCTCAGTGTGTTTCTATGATGATTGAAAACGAAAGACATGAAAAAGGAAAAGCCGAAAACCATTTGTTCATGCAGGCATACTTTGTTTTATGTGTTTTATTGGGAATTATATGCTGTCATATTGCATATGTATGCATCAATATGGACTTGAGGTTCAAAAAGCCTCTTGAGTTGATATTTCTAGATAAACTTGCAACAGTTATCGATGGATCAAAGCTGCTCTGCAGCATTACCTGCAAAGGCAATTTTAATACACAATTTTAAAGATTCAAGTTATTTGTGACTGACTATGATTCTTCTTGCACTTGGTTGGAAATATATATTCTACATTTAATTTGACTGCTTATTTAAATTACCTATATAAAGTCAAGTTATAAGTTTTTAATTGATTTTAGGGGCTACGTCTAAAAAATGAGTGGCATTAAAGTTCTAAGTAATTGAATGTTAGAATTGGACCACTGGAAATATTAGGCTTTTAGCCTAGCAGCTAGTAGCCAATAGTCTTCATAGTTTTAGATCCCCACACCCAACTCAAGTTTACCAATGCTTGATTGAATTTTATGAATATGTTTAGCTTTTAGGTGAATGAATGCTATATTTATCAAATCTTCATAAACAAGACAACTTAGCTGCAAGGAAAAGGGCTTCTAGGACAACTTACGGTAGTGAATTTATGAAGAGCTATTATTCAAGCATTAGAATACTAAATAAGTTATAATATTTACCAAACAATTGATTAAAGAAAAATGTGACAAGGTGCTGGCAAGTGAATCTGTGTTGACTAGTAGCTTGGCATGGGGTACAAGGGCCTGGAGCTTACTTGGCGGTATTATTCTTCTGTTAATCTCTTGTGTGGATCAAAGTTTTATTCACTTTATTCATTTGGCTGATATATATAATTTGCAGTATTGAACTTCATCAACAATAATTTTCAAGTATATCCAAGGTGAGAATCCTTGCCTTTTCTACAGACTATAATTCTTTTTTGCATCCCTTTGGGATATTCATGAATTTTCGCAATAAGTTTAATGTAACAGCTGAAGTGTAAGTAAAAGCTAGCAATGCTAAAAAGCTACTTTGAGCCAACATCCCTGTATAGTCTACAATTCTTTTTTTTTCGCCAAAAAAAAAGAACGGTGTTGTTAAAGTCTACAATTGTTCTTAGGTTGGCTACATTCTCATTTAAATTGTCTTGTTAACATGTCAGCTTTCCAAATATGATCTTTTTTCTTTGTAAACAGTCCTCTTTTTTTCCCTGAGAAATTAAGGTAGCTCATTTTGAAAGCCAATGCAATAAGTTGTAAGCCTCATCCACCTTCTCTCTACAATCTGTTAGCAAAAGCATGTTCTGTAAAGCATGTTAAATTTCCTCCCTTTCTAATAGAATTTTATGTTTTTGGAATTTCTAATCATGGAGGTTGACACAGGTTAAATCTTTTCTGTTATTCAGATTCTTGAAGCAGTACTG